GCGGATTTGCCGTAATGATACCAATAGTTGAGCAATCAAAAGACAACAGAAGTTATATGACTTGCATTTCATTTACCAAAGAAGCAATCTAGTATTTACAATATGTACACTATTAACTCTTAAACTGTCCAGACGTAGATCTACGTTTTTTCAACATTTGAAAGTATGTAAAACAAGTAGATCTTCTTTTCTTTTTTTACATTTGAAAACGTGTAAAAAAAAACTTTGATCTTTGTTTTTTTTGTTATATTTGAAAATAAGTAAAAAAAAAAGGAAAACTACTTTTGCAGCACTACGCATGTGGACAGTTTAAGGGTTAAAATACATGCAGTAATGTAAGAGGAAGTATACAACATGGTGATCAAAGGAGGCAAAAAGCATGAGCCAGAGAATGCACTCTGAGTGATCAGCAGCCCAGACAAGTCTGCCAACACTCATATGACAAGTGAACCACATTGCTTCACAGCTGTGGCGAGCTTGTCTGTGACTGGCCGATGAACCGAGGTACTGATATAACGACTGGGCCCCTATTGATCGTTTAAATCCTTCGCACTTGGTTCGCTGGTCGGGAGGCAGCCTTTATGGGAGTATGACCCACGCCGAATAAAATGTAACATACTCGTAGCATGCTACAGTAACAAATAAAATAGATGAGCTAAGAACAATTGCATTGTGCAGGAAGCATAGATATTATAGCTATAATAGAAACTTAGTTCAACTTGAAAGATAGAGAAATGCCACACCGATAGTCAATAGGTAGGGTGGCGGAGTGGCGCTATGTTACATTAAACAAGATGTAAAAGTAGAAGCAATGGACACCGACAATGTTTGGATAGTTTCTGGAGGGACGTGAGAAATTAGTCTTGGGAATGAATTAGAGACCCCCAGACCTTGATAGGGAACGTGGTAAATTTCAATGGGACGAAATTCATAAGGCATATAGAACAGTTTGTGACTGAACCAACTAGAGGAAATAACTTGTTTGACTTAGTTCTTAACAACAAGGAATCACTAGTTAATAATCTTGATATTATTGCTGAGCTTGGGGACAGCGATCACAAATCACTCAGTTTCAACAGATCATGGTGTTACCTTAATAACTTCAATCAAGCCAATGTCTTTTATCTGGCCAGTGTATTAGGACTGAAATATTACCTGGGTGGGATGAACTTGTGTTATCATATTGGCAGCCGGATAGGTAGGTAGTGATGGTTGCCAATATGACATTTTTGAAAGGATAGTTCAAGTCACCCAGAATACTTATGTTCCAAATAGGGAAACTAGATCAAACAAAAATATATGAACACAGAATAAAACATCTCTTAGGTCAAAAAATGAGACATTTACAGGCAGATTAAGAGGGAAGAGGTGCACTTAAGAAATTAATATATTCAATTAAAACGAGAAATATGAAAAGCCAAAAGAGTTAATGAGGTTAAAGCCACAAGTGATTCAAGGATTAACCCAAAAGGTTTCTTTCATGTATATAGGAGTAAGATCAGGGACAAGATAGGCCCACTTAAGAGTTGTTCATGTCAGTTCACAGTGACAAAAAATATGTATAATCTTCAACTTAAGAGTTGTTCATGTCAGTTCACAGTGACAAAAAAATATGTATAATCTTCAACACTTAATTCCTCTCCGTATTTTACGAAGAAAGATAATGGAAAAATAAGTTGTTTACGATCAAAGTCACTGGTGACATGGTTATCAGACAAACAGATCAAAACCTAACAAATCCCCGGAAATTAAGGAGGTACTTAGCAAACCGTTAGGTAGTCTTTCAACGTATCACTACAAACTGGCATACCGCCAGATAAGGCTTAGTTTGGAATTATAGACGAGCTAGCCTAATTTCCATTGTGGGAAAGTTGATGGGATCAATAAATACTGAAGATATTCGAAGTCACCTTGAAAGACAAATTAATCATTGAATTTCAGCATAAGATATTTAAAGAGGTAGATCATGGTAATGAATATGATATTGTGTATAAGGCTTTTGATAGAATTCCTCACAGGGGATTGTTAAGGAAAGTTGAGGCACATGAAATAGGAAAAGAAAATAACCATAGCACCTATAAACTAAATAATGTAGAGAAACACTCTGAATTTTCCATGGAGAAGTGAAATAGAATTCTTCCTCCGTAAGCCATGCGTGTCGTAAGAGGTGACTAAAATGCCGAAAGAGGCTAGTAACCCCTTCTCCTGTATATATTACTAAATGTATAAGGGAGAAACTTTCGTTTTTCCTTTTGGGCCACCCTGCCTGGGTGGGATACAGCCGGTGCGTTGAAAGAAGAAGAAACACTCTGAATGAAAAAAAAAAAAAAGATTTAGGAGCTCTGGCTAGTAGTAATTTAAAGCTAAGACAACAGCGTGTAAGTGTTCGCAATAAAACAATAGAATTCTTGGCCTCATATCAAGATGTATAAATAACATAAGTCCTCAGGAATTATTCTTCAACTCTGTATATCGTTCGTTAGGCCTCATTTAGACTATTGTGGTCACCGTATTACAGAATGGATATAAATGCACTGGAAAACGTACAGAGAAGATTGACAAAATAGCGGCACCCTATATAACGGCATAATCGAGTTAATAGCACATTGAAACCGGCGGCATTTATATAACGTTCTGTTGCGCGGTAGCAGAACTCGGCCAAGCATGTAAATATTTGTTTACACCAGCCATTTTGAAAGTGAACTCAGTACTGATAGCATGCTACAGTATACACTGCCATTTTACCTCTGCTGTATAAAACTATCAGCCAAGCTGATAGTGTCCTCAGCTTGCTAATTAATATATCATCATTTTTTTATGGATATTGGTAATAGTCGGAGGAATATATGCTGCAAATTCCATGCAAAGTCGTGGACAAAAAATAAAACTGAAAAAAAACACTATTGTGCAAACTTTTAGGGTACTCTACTAAGGTAATCACTGCTGACGTAGCTGATATAAAAATAATTCTACCCTCAAAAGTTTCGGTTGGTTTTCTCTCCTTTCCTAGTACTAATGAAACGAATGACCAGCAGGGCCCAACCTCCCCATGCATAAACTAGAACTGACTTACATTGTTGTGTAGTCTGTCCCTAGCTAACTTGACCACTATAAGGTTTCTACTCAATGGTCAAGTGCAAGAGGGAAAAGGTACCTGCAAACAAGTAGTGTTAGTAATTCTGGTGTGGGACTTAGGCTGCACTAGATTCTTGGGTCTACCCTAAACTAGCATCAGAATATGCTCCTGGCACTATGTTTATAGGGTCTAATTCACTTTGCAAGCCCTTCTGTAACCTATCCTATGGTGGGGCATCGCCCCATTTATAATCCATATCCTAAATTGTCTCAGCATTCACCCTCACTAATGTTCAGTGGCCACCTAGGTTACCGAAGTAAATTTTGAAATAAATCTCACGACGGATCTCGCATAGAGATGAACTATCTTCTGTAGTTTAGGAATGCCTCTACTGTTTCTTCTCTGACGTCTATTTTGATGGGCGGGGAGGCAGCTTGGAGGTCGTTCTCACAAGCACACCGCTTTACTCTCTATGCTCGTTTTAAATAGAAGTTCATTGATGCGCCATGCTGGCCCCCACACCCGGCTGACTTGTCAGCTACTCTTTACAACTAATTTCCCACTTTACAACTAGTTTCCCACTGTAACTGCCTAATATTATTATCTTAGTCTACTATAATATTCCTAATATTATATAATTATGATTTAAACCTCCCAAAATTATTTCTAAGGCCTAAATCCTTCAAAATACTACATTGAATTTAAGGATTTGTTAAGAGGACCCTAGTGGGTTTAACGCATGGTTTTGATTTTAAAAATAATACTCGTTACGAGGAGTAAAGGGCCGGTTTGGAAGATTGGTTAAGGTAAGGGATTCTACAGTCCCAGGATTTTGGGGGATTTGGAGTCAACAAATTTGCACACTACTGCCCAATGAATTATCGGTTGGGGACTCTATTAAATTATCTCTATTGATTACATAATTAAAATACACTCTAATTGGCTTTCATATGTCTTCAAACATTACCTGTGCATAATGAAAATATTTTGAAAACGACAAGGTAAACCCTCTAAAATTCATGTTGATAAAATAATTTAAAAACTAACTTTTGGTCAAGTTACAGAATTCTGTTTTATCAATAGTATATCCGAAATTTTGAGTCACAGTTAACAGAGAACCATTACAAGAGAACTCGATAAATGGGATGTGCTTACTGTATCTTCCCCGTCCTTGCGCTGGCGGAGCGCCCACTGAGGCTGCAGAGCTGTGCATCTTTCTGGTTGCATCCAACAGTAGCCATCAAAGTTACCACTCTCACAACTAATGCATTTTTTAATCTAAAGCCATAAATAAACGATAAATTAATATAAAACATCTAAACGCTAATTTGCTGCTTATACATAGCCAAAAAAAAAAGATAATTTCTTATTTTTTTTTTTCAAAATTGTTTCATCCGATTGGCTATTCTATGTCCCATGTCCCTTGAGCTGATAACAGACCTGCCAGGGTGGGTGTGACTATGATGTCTGCTGTGATCCTAGCAACCTAGACTGGTGGCTCTCAAGAATACCTCGTCTTTCTACCTATCCATCTGTGCACACTACTGCCATTTTTGTTTAAGCTTCAATTTAATTTTGCTTGCCTCAGCCTACCTCTTAGGTCGAAGAATTTTTTTTTTTTTACAACTTCGCCTAAAACAGAAAAGATATTGATTAGTGATATAATGTAGATAACTTACATCTTAAATTTATTATGTTCCAGTCTCTTTTTATTTAGTTTTAATGTTTGCATCTAAATAAAATACATAAATAAAAAAATACATAAGTATCATTAGTTTTTGTTTTTCTATATTGTAACGTTAACAGACGGGTCTTCAAGTGAAAATTTAAAGAAAATACTAAAGTAATGATTAACAGTTACTTGTTTCGATTTATAAAAGAAACTTCCTTAGAAACGTTCAGTAATGGTTGTGGATTTGGGCAGGTGGGCGCTAAGGAGCAGTCTCCTCGCTCCCAGCAGATCGACAAGTTACTGAGCTCCACCTCACCGGTCCAGCGACGGGCCACCCCTGACTTAGGCAAGACACAAGCGCAGACAGATCGAGAACCTCGCTTCCCACCCCTTGGTCAACAGTACCAGCAGACACAGCAGGAGAGAGGCGGCAGGCCGCCGCCTCGCAAAACTGGCAGTCCCACAAATCGTCGATTTTCCGAAAGGTGATCAATTGTTTCTTCTCAGTAACAATGACACAAATATTTATGAATCATATCTAAGTGATATGAGCTACTAAACTGCAGCTGTAGGTTAAGTTAAATAATTATGGTAAAAACTGGTAAGCAGTGATCCCTCTAAGCTGAGCGCATGATGATGCCAACAACAAATTAATTACTGCCTATTAATTGTTATAGCCATGCACACTTGATGATGACTAGTTCAGTCGACTTGTACTTTTGATCATTTAATTATATTGCTGTAATTTTAATTTTATTTTCTAAATTCGTATGGGAATATAAAAATACATTATGGTTTTTTTTCAGTCATTTTCAATACGAATGCAATAAAATGGAAATGTAAGAGAATTAACATAATAGCTTAACAAAGAATAAGGTTGGTTAGAATTATATAAATATTACATAAACATTTAGGATTTTTTGCTTTATAAACACTTGTTGTCATGGCAACTACATTCACTTGCCAACCTGCATCACAACTAATCATGTTCAGTCCTGCAGATAATGAATTCAGCAATTAACGTGCATTCTCTGAGAAAGCTAAATTTATTCAAATACTTTGAGTTTGCTAATGTTCTCAAATGATCCAACATTTTGGAATCCTTGATTCCTTTATAGCAGTGGTTCCCAAACTTTTTCAGCTTGTTACCCAATTTAACATGCCACATAAAGCATGTTACCCCTTTCACAAAATGTTGTTATTATTGATATATATGGCTAAACGTGAACGTATACAGCCTCGCATACTCTGCTAATCCTAGCAAAACCATTGAAAACGTAAGAACCACACATACATTATATATAAAATTAATAATAGCTACAAATTCACAGTAACAGTGGGTAAATACTAACTATATACTGCACAGGGCAGTACACATACATACCAGCTTATGTCTACCTCGGCTGATGCTCACAGATAAACTGACAGTGTGAAATAGAGGCAGCCTCAGGAAGTGAGTGACGCATACTGGACAGGTCGATCTGGGCTACTGAGTGACTTTTGTCCTGAAGCATACTTGTCAAAATACTTTTGGGTTTCCACACACTTAGCTATATATTTCTTCTTTTCTAATACTGTATATTAGTTTTTGATGTTTATTGTTATTTGGTTTAACTTTATTACTTACTTATAATAGGTTTACTTTACAACTTTATATACTAAGACAAAGTTAACAATAATCCTCATACCGGGTACCGCATTGTTTTCTTGATTTTCAGAATTCATAACTTTTTTCTGTCACCCCTCCATTACCCCCCAAAAATGGTTAAATTACCCCCAGGGGGTAATTTACCCCCAGTTTGGGAACCACTGCTTTATAGTCTTAACTGAAGTCCCTCGTGAGAAGAATACATATCTAGGCCAGGACAGCTTGAAGGATTCAACTGAGGGTGGAAAAGTTACATGCAAGTTCCACAAATGCGATTTAAGGGAAGCTCATCTTAATAAAAATAGCAACCAGTGGTAGTATTCATAATGAATCATTAACGAGGGTGGTCTTTCGAACCAGGATGTGATTTACTATATCCCCAGTATTACTTTGTATTATTAAATCACAACAGTGGTCCTGATCGAACAGAATTCGACTGACACCAGTTAATCTTAATAACAGTAATTTATACTGAATTGAATCATGTAATTCAAAAGGAGAATATTTTACTTGATTTGTTGAATTCAATTAATGTTAACTTTACAATAAATGCCTTTGAGCTTAAAGATTTAATTACACTTAAATTATCATAAATACAATCCATACCTAGGATTATTAATACAATATAATAATTTAGGTAACTTAATCTTTGGGCACAATAGTTAATCATACTTAAGCCAGACAGCCTGATTTAGCCATTAACCTTTAAATGACCTATAAATCAAACTTTAATAGTTTTATTGGCACAACCTATGCCTACTAGTATTTAATTTTTAATAATTGTAGTGGCATACATAACCCGTGCCTACTAGTGTAAATTCTTTAATCCTTCAAAGCATGACCCATTCCTATGATTTTTGACCATTCAATATTATTTGAGTCAGGCAGCTTAATTAACGTAGCAACTGTATATGCATGTTATTAATTGTACTTACATTTGTCCCTGTGTAACATTTACTGGACTGTACAAGGCAAATTTGGGGAACATCAGTTGGGGTATATCTTACTGATTCAACATTGATATTTTAAAAGTATTTATTTGTTGAATTTATATAAAATAATACAGGGATTAGGAATTGAAACTTTAGATGTATATTAAAATGTTTTCACTAGTACCTTAAACCTTTACTTGTGTACATTATTAAACGTGCATCAGGTTACATTAGCTCCCACATAGTACGGAATTTATTATTAATGGGTAATTTAAATATAATGTCAACTGTAATTTATTGAAATCTTATTTGTATTTAAATAATGCATATAGTAGCTTTAACAGGACACAGTCAAGTATCTGCATCACTTGGTATTTACTGAGAGTGATGGGAGGATATTTCGTTCCCCAGATGCTAAATCAGCTACTTATTATAAAGCTCTTAATTGGCAACATAATCAAAATATGAATCACATTAGGTGCCAAATCCTTAACTCATCTTATAAAAAAATGATTACTAAAATTCTATGGGCTAAGGATAAATAGGTTTAATTTCAAAATGATAATTTTAAATTTATCTTAATAAAACTGTAAGTTAAATCTGCATTTATGTGTTGCTAATCTTACACATCATTAATTGTATATTAGATAGGCTAACACAGTTTCATATTAAATGTTACACTTAATTGATTACATTTGCTAATTTTCTTAATTAATGACGTCTTTGAGCTTTAGGACTAATTAAATTCCTTTCTGAGAATAATGTCATATCTGTAAAAGCTGCCGTCAGATGTTGAATTACTCACTAGGTAGGAGAATAAATTATATCTTACGAGTGATTTATTGAAATTTTGCACTCTTAGCTCTTCAGTAGTGTATTACATAACACTGTATAAGAGCTATTCAGTAAATTTAAAATTGTGATGCCTGCTGAAGAGTAAATGAGCCTATCAGAATTTGGCTTGTTAGCATCGTAACTGTGTCCAAGCACCAGCCTGCCTAACAAGATGGTTACAGGAACTAACGTGGTTAAAGATAGCATTCAACTCCTGCCCTGTCCTGACTGAGTATTTATGTTAGCCTATTCTGGTTTCCAGAAATTTACCTGTTTGACCAATATATGAGAGAGGACACTGAGTACATGGGACCTTGTAAACCCCACCAACTTTGTTGGAGTGAGTTTTTAATCAGTCATACACAAATAACCCGCACATAAAAGAAAGAAGCTTACGACGACGTTTCGGTCCGACTCGGACCGTTTACAAAGTCACTTTGTAAATGGTCCAAGTCGGACCGAAACGTCGTCGTAAGCTTCTCTCTTTTATGTGCGGGTTATTTGTGTATCTTTCCAGTCACGGTATTGTGCCTTTTTTTGTTATTTAATCAGTCTTTTGGAACATGAAAGGAATATAGCATATAATTCAAATTATGGGCTAAACAAGCTCGATAGCTATTTAGTAGAGTCCATTGTACACAATCTTAAACAACAATGCTATTAAAAATCACCGAATTGCTCATTATACTAGGTGGGTTGATGGATTGGTGACGCCCGACCAGTGTCTAAGCACCAAAACTTCACAGCACGTTAGTTGTAAATGGTTATATAATGCGTTTAGCTGTAGTGTACTATACAGTGACAAGCACATAAGATTACGAGATAACATAAGGAGAGGTTAAAGGGTATTAGTAGAAATTAGAAATTTACATCATAGAAATTTTATCAGAAAGGCATAGAAGGTTCCCAAGTCAGGAATATTAACCGATACAGAGATGAATAGTAGACAATATTTAGGAAGAGATAATTCTGAGTACCTCAGTAGAACATTCGAGTTCCCCAAGATATTTAAATGGACAAAGAGCACATTCTATTCCTTTCTTTTATTATTTAAAAAGGTGACACAAAATACTAGCAATCCACGTGTATAGTGTCCAACGAGAAACGTATTTTCTCAAACCACATGACCTCTTATAAACGACTAGAGAAAGCTTAGGGCTGGCTATTATAACTTATTTTCTCACTAGCCACCACTGCTGATTGTCTTTTCTTAACAACTTTAATCTGTGGGGTTTCTGGAGTATCACTAAATTTGTTTTCAACTCTGCGTAATTCTAACAGCACTAGTTTATTTATTGCCCGCTTATTCACTACACCTTTGCTCAACTGTCCTGGTGTTTCCATTTTCATCAGGATGTATGGTCACTATTTTTCCAAGAGGCAATTGGGACATTGGACCATCATGTTCAACAATTACTATGTCACCAGGTCTGAAGGATATACGATTTTCAGGAACACCAGCTCCGTAGAAGTGTTCTCTCAGTGAGATAAGATAGTCTTGCCAAATTTTCTCCCAACGTTCAATCACTTTATTGAGGTATCTGAATTTACATCTGAGTTATCCAGTTCCGAGATAAGTAGGATCCTCCATGATATCTTTATCATTCATTGGAGGAACTGTTTCGAGCCTTCTACCATGAAGTAAATGAGACGGACTTAACAATTGTAAATTGTCCAGATAACCGGTAACATCAGTTAGAGGTCTATTGTTGACTATTTTCTACTTCAGTTACGACTGTTCGAAATTCTTCTAAGTCGATTCGCTGACGATGAAGAGTCTTCCTTAAACAACATTTTACGACGCCTATCATTCTTTCATTAAATCTGCCTTACCATGAAGCCTTGGGAGGAATATGTCTCCAACAACAACTGCGTTGATTCAGCATAAGTTGTATCACTGGTTGTTCAAAGATTTTGCTTATATATGGAGCACCAACAACAAAATTCGTTGATAACAAAAAAAAAGACATAATACCATGACTGGAACGATACACAAATAACCCGCACATAGAAGAGAGGAGCTTACGACGACGTTTCGGTCCGACTTGGACCATTTACAAAGTCACACTAA